CAAATCTGGGGTGTGGCCGAGACATCTCGGCCGTGGCCAATCTGGGGTGTGGCCGAGACATCTCGGCCGTGGCCAATCTGGTGTGTGGCCGAGACATCTCGGCCGTGGCACAACCATGGTTTTTTTTTGTTTTTTTTTTTCGTTCCAGCCGCGCCCCGCCCATCGAACTCCAAAGGTCGGTCAGACAAGGAGATCCAATAGCCCCTTACCTCTTCGTCATAGTTATGGAGACTCTAGCTGCTAACCTGAGAACACATAAGGACATCAAGAAAATTCAAGTATCTTCGATACCGCAGGACGCAATCCCGGTATGCTCTCTCTTTGCAGATGACCTGACCCTCATGGTCGACGTATCAAGAGAGGCAATGGCTGGAATTCAGTATATGATGGACCTTTTCTGTAGACTATCTGACATGAAGGTAAACTGGGGAAACAAGACCCAAGGATGGTGGATTTACCACCAGGGAGTGAGACCCCCGGAGCAATCCAAGGTCAAATGGCTCCCCCAGGAAGCTCCCATCAGGGTTTTGGGGGTGATAATTTCAGCAGAAGGCAAACCATCCGTGAACAATGAATGGATCTCCAAGCCCCCTTGAAAAAATGACACAATGGCAGGACAAACACACATCCTTATTCGGGCGCTCGCTAATAATCAACAACGTCGTTCTGGCCACCCTGTGGTACAAATCAGTCATTTGGGCATTAGATAAGAATGCCCTTTGTCCCTTGCAACGCCAGATAGCCGCCTTCCTGTGGCGTGGAAACCACGAGAGGTGGGATGGGCATTATAGACCCCTCAATACAAACCAGAGCACTAGCACTGCAGTGGCTCAAAAGGCTCTTATTTAACCCAGAAACCCCATGGAAGGGGTTGACCCTGGAACATATTTCCCGATTAGCTCCACAAACATCGGCAAAATGCGACCCGCTGATGTGGCTGGAGAACAGAGGATGGCCTATCCCAAAAAAAAAATCATCGCAACCAGGTACCCTCCTACGCGGCTCTCCCAGACAAGCAGCAGGGGAGGACCTAGGAAATGACCCTTTCTGGTCGGCCACATGGAGGAGCCTGCCCCTACCGGACAAAACCCCACCTGAAAGATGGGAAGAGGTAGCCCGACAACCCCTCTTTGGGAACAGATGGGTGGTGAACTCGAAGGGACAGACCCTCCACTACGGAGACGCCCTGTGGCGGATTTGGGTCAAGCGGGGAATAACAAGGATTAAAGACATATGGGACACAGACAATAGAAAGCGGGTCAACTCGGCGCAGCTAAGGGAGAAACTACGCTACTGCCACCGCTTGGAGGAGTCTTTAGAGACTCTAATAGAAAAGGTCCCCCTTGATTGGTGGAGGATTCTCAGGAAAGGGCCCACACTACAAAAAGCGGACTGGGTGGCAATCAAGGAACGACCAGAGGAGGTGGGTAAGATTGTGCAAAATAACACTGACGGAACAGTGAAGGTGAATCTCCATCAAGTGCAATGGAACAATGAGATTAAAAAATCGAACCCCGAGGAAACAATAACATGCCACAAAGAAGAACTGTTCAGAATCAGGGTGCTCCACGAAAAAGAACAATCGATAGCCTACCTTCCACATATCCCGGTGCACCAATTGGCCCTAGACCCGACAGAATGGAAATGGTCAACACCTACAAGGAACGGCAGGAAATTCACAAAATCCCTGTATGGCCTAACGGTCAAGGCGACATATAGGCTTCTCAGACAGAGATTTACCCTGCGAGACCAGGTGGAGGGTCGTTGGATGAAGCAACTGAACGTAAGCAAAGACGACCTGAAGAAAGTGAAATGGTTCAAAATGGTCAAAGAAAAACCTGCGAAATTTGCTTCGCCGCAATGGCAAATCGAGCACCGTTGCCTACCGACCAATGACTGGCTCATAAACAGAACACGTCTAGAGCAAATGGAGAAAGTTCTACCCTGGTGCAGACAGTGCACGGACGCGTTTCCATCCAGGAAAAGGCCCGAGACTATTGAGCACATATTTCTTCAGTGCCCATGAGCAATTTCACTATGGAGATGGTGTGACAGAATTTGGGACCAATTAGAAACACTAACCCCATGGACGTGGGTTGGAAAGCCCTGCTCTGCGAAAAGTGGACCGAAGACGGGATGGACGAGTTCACCAGTAACATGTTCAAATTAGGACGCAGGGCGGTACTTTGGGCTCTCTGGCGACGGCACTGTACCTACGAGATGGAACGAGTAAGACTCGAAGGTCCAGAATTCACGGACAACATCCAACAACAGATCCAAACTGAAATCGCTGCAAAATGGGAAGCAGTTAAAGTCAAGATACAAACATTACTCTCAAGACATGACATCCAACAAAAAATTCAAAAGTTCTGCTCGAAATGGCTGGGGGGGGACAAAGGGGGAAGGATAGGAAGAGTGGAATGGAAAGGAGGACAAAAAACATGGGAGGGATTAGTAAGGGACTATATCGGCTGCTATTCAACGACTGGACATCTATTCCAATGAAACCCGCCGAAGAATTCCCCGACCTCTTCCCCCCCCCTTCAAACAGCTTAGTAGACTTAGAATGGTATGGGAGGGATGGATGAAAGAAGGGAAAGAGGTCAGGTCCCGGGCTAGCAGCTAATAGTCTGTCAGGTCAGGTCTTCTTGTTCAAAGATGAAGTACAGTGGGGGGAGGAAGGAACCAGTTTGTGAATGGCAGTATTTGGCGCCGCTCTCAAGGTGAAGAGGCCCCTCCCTTGCCCCGAAATCCTGCTCAGTCAATCCACTGAATCCCAGGGCAACCAATGCTGGCAAGAACTCTCTGCATGATCGATCTAATATAAATGGGACGCTGGATCCGTTTTCCAGCAGGTGATGCTCCCCACCAATAGATGGAGCCGTCTCCCAGGTGGTAGTGGGGTCTGCTCTTATCAGCACCACTAACAATGTAAGGGACGTTTTCAAAAAAAAAAAAAAAAAAAAAAAAGACGGATGAGGCCACACAGGATCTAAGGATTGGTTATCGAATGGTGGG